GCTCCTCAGCTAGTTCGGCCATTCATGGTGCCCAGCAGTTCACTTGCTGTTGCGGTGACGTTTTCGTAGGCAAATATTGTTTCCGAGGGTGGCTGAACATCTTCCAAAGTTGGTGAAACAAATGATGACGCAACAAAACGGAGTGTCCCCTAGAATGCACCAGAGTCCGTCATCATCAATCACCAAGCCCTTCATGATGACTGGTCATTATGTGAACCTGAAAACGGTATTCAAGATACTTTTACGCAACAGGAACCCGCTGACGTTGGCAATCCGTCAAGCGTTGCTAATTAGGGCCTATCAATCAATATGCACAATGCTATATGCACAGAAACTCTTGAGGAAATCAGTTAGATTGTCTTAGTCTTGATCATGACATTTGGATTGGTGTGCTAACTTTTTCCCCATTTATATATTTGTGTGTGTTCCGTGTGTGTTGTGTATGCGAGTGAGGAGAATAATCAAAATGTCAACATATCACCCTGTTTTCTTGCGGCTTTGATAAAACTACTATAGCAGGCTGAACCCAAATGTTTTCAGTCAAATTGTTAACGGGGCTGACCCAAGCAGATTACTGTTCTGATGGTAAGCTAGGACGTGAACTAGTCGCGTCACCTCCACGGGGTGTTACCGACATTAAGGACAAGGTCACACGGTTCCCTTCTCTGGTGTGACTGTAGAACGATCTCTCTAGGCGGTTGTATCAGCAGAACGCCGCTGTGTGGACTTACTGCAGGCACACGTTGTTGTGCTAGAGGGACTTTCGTGACTTGGTCCATTGATCGCCCGCGGTCAGTGCTGGTTAGCAAGGCGGATTTGCCTAAATACTGAGTAGGATTCGCTGCACGGAAAACGCGGATAACTGTAGGTACCCACAGACTGTTGGACTGGAACGAGTGAGAGCTTGTTTGAACACCGTCGAAATGCTCCATCCAGTGAGACCAAAATTTGGGTTTGACGATTGAAATTGCTCAACTTTGTGCGCGTGCATATCCGCGAAACACTGTCTGGAAGATACAATTTTGAGTAAATGTAGAATGTACTAGTAGTGTTGTCGAGAAAATGGTATCAAGAAGTGGAACTTGTAAAAGCAGGTTGCAAATGTGTAGATCCAGTGATGTGCGACAACATGCGGTAGAGTAACAGCAGAAATGACAATAGTGCACGAACACACGGAAAGCACGCTCGATTCTTGAATGATAATTGCGTGATGATCAGTGCAACCAAATTGCCATCCCAACTTTTGATTTACTCAGTACATAGCTGCTGGCTGGAAGTAAGCTCTTGTTTTTTGCTCTATTTCTTCGCAGGCCAGTCCGTGCAGACGCATTGGACAGAATGGCTGCGATATGTGGACAGTCAGGTGGAAAGAAAACAACATCGCCTCCGCTTTCTATGCAACTTTTCTGGAACGGCTGTTCCGAAGTTACGTGTAGATCGTATACAGTTTGAAGAACGCCGATGCGACCGTTTGATAGGACAATGTGTCCACGTAACAGGCAAGTTGTACAGTTTCTAACCTAACCAATCGCCGAAGTCCTAGCAAGTGATAATGGTCTCGCTACTCCATTTTTACAGCCAGATACGCAATGAACTAGTTGCTCTCAAGCACCGGATGCTGTTTTATCTTGTGTTTAGTGCATCGACTGCTCCGTTCTCCGACATACAACACAACCGCCTAAGAAGTGATCGCACTATTGTTACCGTGTTCTCCGCCTGCCAGCTGATACAACCATGGCGCGTTGTATCATAGGAGCACAAAGCTTTGCCTTTATGTGATGTTTCAAGTAAGCCACAACCGGGATGAAGTTACCTGTAAACCGATTGGTGGGTCATTTTGAAGCACACGTTGTGTGATTAGGTTGCGAAGCCCCATCTCAGTGAGGACTGTGATTCGCACTGTCGAGTACCTTGGTCAACTCGATCACTAGGACCGTAGCTGAAGCAGAAGGATTGAGATTGCGCGTCTTAATCAAATCACACCACGTGTACTTCCAAATGGCACTCCAACCAGTCCTCAACCGTCGTGTAAAACCTCGCCCGTCGTGACACGATGGCATAAGAGGTAAAAGTCCCAACAAACATCTCAGTAGTTCCAGGCTCCGGGCCTGCTTTCTTTACCGGATAACAGCAAAGGAGATCAAAAGGCGTCGTGGAGCGCGGGCAGCATGGAGTACCTTTGATCTCTTGCAATTCACAACTGTAATTGCAGTTATCCCGCTTAACCATTTACACATGATAGGTTAGCGATTCTAAAAGCGTTGTTTCCTTATGGTCTTGCACATTACAGGCGATGGCGCTCTGAGATCCGCAACCGGCCTAGAAGCTCGCTGGTCCGGTTGGGGGCGTTGGACATCCTGTCCCCGAAGCTGTCTGTCCCCTAGTCATGTGTTCGAGCTGGAGCTTGGAGATGGTTCCTCCCTGCCCCTATACCGACATGGAGAGGTGCAAATAAGAAAACGTCAATGCCTCTTCGGCCATTTGTTAAACTGTCCAGGGGGGATGAGGGCGGCAGAAGAGGTCAGAAACTGCCCCCCAATACCGGCTTGCAGTACGGGCCTATCGTGCTGGTCCCCTTGGTCCTCTTGCATTGACACGAAGCCAAGCCTTACCCCTACATCCATTCTCAAAGTTCACATGCATGGAGTGCGCAGGCGCTGGCGCCAGTGTGTGATTGGGAGGCGTGACTGGCCCAACAAAAGAGAGCAGCAGTGCACCGCAGCTCTGGAAGAGACCGAATGGTGCGGTTACCAAGTTGAGTCGGAGATGGATCACCCAAATTGTAAGTTCTGTGTGCTTCCTCATTTACTGTCTTTGCGCCTGCCTACACCATCACTTTCCTTGCATAGTTGCTCACGGGGAAAAGGAAACATAAACAGGGCATATGCAGAATGATTCCGTCCGAATTTTACATCATTAAATAAGAATTGGGATATGTTTACTTCAGTCTAACCGCTACTTGGTCCTTCGAGTCATTATGTGGATGCATGGCGAAGTAGTCCTGTTGTACTAGGTGTGCACCCATCCCAATATTGTTGAGTCTGGTGAACGTGGAGAGCCAGCTGGTTTCACTTATCCACATGGCATCGGCCCTATTGCATGGTACTCGCTTACACATCCACTTAGTTGAAGTTCACTGTTTTACTCTTGTGTTCAGTCAATCATGTCGGCAATGCGTCTTGGAGCGAATGGACGTCATGGTCTTTATGCGAAAAGCTTCACCGGGATGAGAGAAACACCATTGATGGTGAGGGCAAAGTAGTATCCTGGTTTGTCCGTACTCGAGTCAGAAGCTGCTTGAGTATCATTGACTCAATGGACCACCATTTCTTCATTACCAATGAATTCTGCCTTGGGTCTTGGAAGCAGCTGCGTTCATGTGGGTCCACTGAGCTGCATGCAGGCGTCCGTAAGTTAAGTGTACAGTACATGACAGCAAAACTGCTTTTTACACATTCGTTGGTCTTTTCTATGCAATGTATTTTGTTCTATCTGGTTGAATAGTGTCTGCTGGATTTGAATCTAAGCTTTTCTCTCGGAATCTGTCAAGAGATTTTCACCGCTAGCAGTTCGTTAATTCGCTTTGATCTAACTGGCTGAGGAGCGTTGGCTGATTTAACGCGATAGATCGTTGTGAATACTACTGATCCCCAGCCACAATAACCATGTTTTGTATCGTGTAATATGCTATCTGATAGAGAGCCTTATCCAATACGGAGGCTGTTCTTCTGAGGTTGAGTCACACCTACGCTTGTCCATTAATTTTTCACCTAAGGGGTGAGAGACCGAGATTTTTTAATCTACTGGAAAAACCGCAACAGTATTTTCATCCGTCCTCATGTCTTCATTGCAGGTTACTACCCCGATTCAGCGCGCGTGAAGTGGTTCACCTCAGTTTATCTGCTTACTGTTGGAATAGTTGCGTTTACCTTCGCAGCACTGCTGACTTGTATAACAATAATGCTGTACCACTGGGGTTATCGAATGATCGATAAGAATGCGTGCTGCAAAGTTACCCGAATACAGGATTCAATTTTACCGAAGGTGAAAGATAGCACACAAGATTTCCCTGATCATGCAAATGGCTTTACGGTTCCAGCGACGGACACCCAACACGACGGCCTGCATGCTCGGAAACCGCACACCATGGCCCCATTAAACTTTTCTGGTCCGCCAAAACCTATCTTAACGCTTCCGATACCGGTGCCTGCTGATTCACCGAACAATATACAATTTAGGCAAGGCAGTTTTCGGCCACACACCACCCAAACTGTTTACGATTCGGTCGCGTCGCAGGACGCGCTCACTACCCCACATCATCCTGAACACAATAACATCGGTGCTGCGGAATCAGGAGACACGTTTGGCCGAGCAACTAACCGAAAACATCAGAAACCTCGGCTTTCGAGTACAGAGCTTTCATTCCAACCACAAAGCAATAATGGTCATTCGTCGTGCTTTTTGCACAAACAACTAAATAACAAAGCTGGTTCACTCCAGAATTCCTTAGATCCTCTTGATAGGCCCTTCTTGTCCTTTGCACAACCAGTGCAGTCCCAACACTACCACCCTGGTGTACCTGTACAGACCGAAATTCAAACGGATCCTGCAACTGCATATGAAAATAAGTATAGAAATCTCTTCATCAGCTCTATTTGCCCCGTAACTGAACTACTGAACGTGGAAACCTCTAATGCCCCATTATCTCAACAATTAAAACAAAACAAAAACATTATAACCTTTAGCAAAAGTCCGCATACAACTTCTGTTGATGAATATCCGCAGACTGTCTTATCCAACCGAAATGTTTCCGAGTTGGCAAATACTGAAGTAGCGTTGGAAATGTCTCAATATAAAGAAGTCCGCAGGCGAAGACGACAATCAAACAACGAGTCTGCCTCACTTCGTGACAAATCTGCCGATCAGGAAGCTACCACATGTGCACTGAGTGAAGATGAACTGTGTTCGGTGTACTTAGACCGACCTAGAAATCCCCATCTGCGAGACTCTAATGACGTTCCTCCCACATCCGCAAGCTCTGGTTCCACCTAGTTTATGTGCACTTCACGGTACTCAACAATAAAGCATGCTTATTTCTGCGATTTATTTCATACTATACTCCACTTAATGTTAGCAATACCATCGGAATCTTCATGAATTTTTTCAGCGCATTATTCGGTCATGTCACATTCCAAAGAAATGAGTAAAGTATGGTGATGGGCGCAAATGCTTTATGGCTGCCCCTGTCTAGCACCGTATGGCATTGCCAGCCAGTAGTTATTTGATACAATAAGAAATTAGCGTTTAGTATCTTGAAGTATGATTGGGGCCGATCGCGAACTAATGATTTCCGAAGGGTTTTAAGACAATCGGTTGGTCAGATAAAAGGAACTGGTAAACAAATGGTGTGTATTTATGGCAAACTGGAAGGACAGTAAAGAAATGCGAGGGATGCGACAGAGAATGTTCATCGTTAGATATCAACGTGTCATCGCAAAGGTTTCATTATGATCAAGGGGGCACCAACTTGTCCAGGTCATGAAGTCACCGCACCTAAGTCCTTGTGAATGATGTGATGGAAGTGGTTTGATGTTCGCTGCCAAGATGAATCGGTGCACTGACGCCCATCAGATTGGTCTGGTTAGGTCAAGTCGCCACTCGTTTGGCGGCACTACCTACATCATTCTGTTCCCGTACATGTTGGCTGCGGCTATTTCCAAATTTCGGACAACTAACTTTTGAAGCGTTGATCGCAAGGTTCTCCTAATAGGCTCAAAATTACGATTAAGCAAAGGGGAATTTGAGTGAAACAGATAGAGGTTCATTCCATACAGACTCAGTTAGATAGCCATCAAATGATCGGTGGTGCACTGGAAGGCCATTTAATCCCTTTGGGAATCGCCAACAGTGCGCATTCAATTTGGCCTCCGTGGAACCAGAAACCGCGACCAGACTGTTACCAGCCTGTGGCGGAAACCACTAAGCTACATGGAACGGTGAAGACCGAGGTAACTAAGTTATTTCATGTGACATGGCGCCACTCACATTGCCCAAGGCAAATACATGTTTTGTAACTACATCCACCGCTACTCCTGTATTTTGTATTGAGGAGACTTATTCAGACATGCTTCTCGAAGGTCGATTTTGGTGTGTATCACTACCGCGGTCTGGCCAATGTAAACCTGTGCTCGGTTTTCGAAAGCAATTTCATGAACACAGTTGGTTGTCCACTACAACGGCAGCGAGATTTTCAAATGTGCTGGTGTTAAATACAAGTGACTTTTTGGAAACGCCCCATATTTTCGCCTGATCGCTCCCAAAGTTCCTACTTTATAAGGGGTTCCTACCGTCACAATCCACCCCGTGGTGCGTCGTGGGTACTATCTTAGCACTTTCGGTAACTGGCGTTCAATTAAGCGCCAGTGTTCATCAAATACTTTCTAGTGGATCTCCTGTCTTCATCGTTTGTACACAGAACTGGGCCTTGCGAAAGAGAGAGGAAGCGATCTCAGCAGATACATGCATTCGCGTACTACATCAATTTGCCTGACGAAGCGTTTGTGCTAAGAGCGAAATATTCTCCTGCAGAAATATCAACCGATTGTTTTAAACAATCTTGAAACTCCTGTTTATTCATCGTTTGTGTTTTCTGCAGAGCTATTTGCTACAGACAATTCCGGTTTACACAACAAGTTACTATGAATTAACACCCACCCATTGCCTTCACTGCGCTGTTTCTGATGCAGATAAACCTTAGGTGCTGCGTGCCCTCGATTTTGCGACCCACAAGCGGTTTTATCCGTGATTTTGTTTAAATCTTTATTTCTTATTCGCCCAACGCGAACGTTAGTCTCTCGGCAAAACCGCATATACTCATGAGTAGGGGATTTTGATGTAATTATGTGAGGTCCATCGCAGCCAGTTTCCAAATCAGATAGTCGTCCAAGTGCCCGGAAAAGCACTAGACTGCAGTTTCGGCCTGTTGGGCATCGTCAATAGTGCCATGAATGGCAGTGGAGGATAAGACGCACTATATCGCAGTTAGCTTGTAAATCATGACGGTCCGAAGCTGTCCCCCGTGGCCCAGTGGCAAAAGCTGCTGACTGTCGGTTCAAGCCGCTGGTGGTCATGCGTTCGAATCCTGACGGATCCGATGGATGCGCACTACTGACGATGCCCAACAGGCTGAAACTGCAGTCTAGTGCTTTGCCGGGCACGTGGACGACTATCTGATTTGGAAACTGGCTGCGATGGACCTCACATAAAAACGCATATGTTGTCCCAATCTGCTAGCATAGATTCGAAAAGATGATGCAGCTGCAGAAAACAAGATTGTGCCAAATATTACTGCAGCTAAACAGAGAACAAATGGCGTAAGTCAGTCATCTATGAACACCGAAAATAAGGATCTAAGAGATGTACATCTGTGTTGCTCCGTCAATATCGTAACGGCCATGCCTGGAGCAAAATCTAAGGCTGAGCCTCGATTAAAATCCTGCATTGTAGAAAAAACACAGGCTCATTTTATATCTCCCATCTAGTAGAACTACTCACAAATTGGCTCATACCATCCGGTCGATCCTGTAGTAGCAACTAATTGTGTTTTGTTCTCGCCAGACCAGATCAATACTCCACTTGCTGTCGTCGGTTTGGATCTGTCGACACGAGCGAACAATAGGTCAGTCTTGGGTCATTGCCATTCGCTCGCCAACCACCACCACAATCGATACGGTATCGAGCACGCACGTTGAATAACGTCATTTAGTACCGCGCAATGTCAAAGCAATTTAGCTGTGCGACGTCCATTTCAAGTACGATGCATTCTCGTAATCTGTAGTCCGAAAAATGGGTGTCTAGGAGGTAGTTAAATTCCAAAACCGATTGCACCTGGACCATTGTCTCGGGTAAAATGTTCCAATGTTGAACCGCTGGATGCTGGAAGCATAGAGGGTGAGTTATCCGCTTCGTGTAAGGTACCACAAGCTTGTACCGGTACCCACGAGTGCTGCATGATGCGAGCAAGTGCAGAGGCGGCTTCATGATTGGTAAGTCACCCAGATGTACTGTCTGATGCGCAGTTATGAGGTCCATTTGAAATCGGGATACGATAGGGTGTGGAACTCCAGTCTCTTTCAACCTTATTCGTACTACACACGCAGTAAACCAGTGATGAGCCTGACAACGACCTGTGGAATAAATGCCAGGTTTTGCACCTCGCTACGGGTGATCACACAATAGGCGAGTGAGCCGTACTCGGGCATTAACCTTCTGACAGAAGAGAAGAGGCGAGTGACAGTCTGTTTAAACCAAGTGTCGAAGCTCCGTTACAGCACACAAATTATAGGTAGCCCGTTTTCGCATAGCTTGTTCGTGTTGTCCACCGGAAAAGCACCGGAAAAGCACCGGAAAAGATGTAGTAGACATCCGTCTTACGATTAGCAACCTGCTGCTCAGCTGAACTGCAGTAATCCTAGTATTGCTAAAAGTTTACTCTTGGTTTGTTGCAGAATCAACCTATTACAAAATGGAACACAACCAATTCAATATATTACAAACGACTGTGGTCGGGTATTAGTTAGACTCTGGTTACTGTTAAGGGAACGGACAAGCGACCCGTGAAATAGTATATACAGGCAAATCTGTCCAAGACGACCTTTCAACGGAGCGACAAAACTGCTCGCAGTGGACAGGTGGTCGCCATGGACAGTTTCATACATAGGTGACACTACTCATGCTCGAATCCACTAGTATGATAAGCTTCCAATTCATGCGCTAGATCTGTAAAGCGACGGCTTTTATAATCAGTTTTCGTTTGTAATTAAGACAAAACAGTAGTAGTGTATAATGTGATATATCTGAGAAATAAGAATGCAATAAAGTTGCAGTTTGAGTCAAACTTTATAAACTGACCTGCAAACCATCGTAATACACAAGATTGAAAAAATTGTACACACGTTCCTATGCTCAAAATCATTTTCCACCGGTTGAACAAAATAAGGTATAGTAGCCTGTTGCTTGGCAATTGAAATGAAAGACGAATACAATTTTTCCCTACCTTCATGATCACTTCAAGCCTGCCAGTGCGTCCGCTATGTTTTGCATAGAAAAGCAAAGTATCAACAACACCCTCTGCGTCTGTGAATGTATACGTTTTCAGAACGTCTCTAGAATTCTGTTCTTGCTCGTCGTCTGATTCACTGTGCACATCCACAGTTGCTAAAAGTAATGTGGCAGGCAGGTCGCAGTTTATTTCTTTTGCATTGCAGGTTTGGAGATAAAAACCAGCCATATGGCTGTCAGCCAGTTGGCATCCAAACAATTCCTTTGAAAAGGTATCCAAAGCAATAGAGATAGAAGGAAGCACAATCTGCTTATATGACTCAAGTCCAGCTTACATTGAGCTCTCAGCATATATTTCCGCAGTTCAAATAAACCCCGCTTCACAAAAACACTTTGGGTCTGTTTTCTTCTCCACCTTCTTCCATGCTGCAGCTATGCAGAACACGAAGTCCAATAAATTTACTCGTTGCATGAGTTCACTTACGGATGTACGTTGTGGGATTCCATGATCGTAATAAGATGCAAAAACAGTTTATTCCTAAACTTCAGTCTAAGCGCCTGAATGATACCGCGGTCGTTGGGTTGAACTACTGACATGGTGTTGGTTTGCAGAGAATGCAGTTTGACATTAAGTAGCTGGGATTTGTGATTGCAGGTGTCATTGGCAACAAATAATATGATGTGCTTTTTTCTGCAATTTTTGTCAAACCTGTGCATCTTCGAAAATAGCTGCGGTCATTCATGCATTTTATTTTCCTTGTAAATTATCGGTAATTTCTTCATGTTGATGTTTCTAACAATTCGACAGTTGGCTGATTTCCCAATCACTGAAGCCGGTCCTCGCTCCCCCAACATGTTAGTGCACAGCAGAACTGTGATATCCTCTTTGATTCTTTTCCTACCTGCGTATTTCTCCCCTTCGACAAAAAATGTTTGATCCGACCTCGCTTTGAATTACAAACCGGTGGCAGACTTAATTTAAAATGTCTTGA